CTCTTCCGAAACTAAGAGTTAGAAGAAGCACAATTACATGTACAAACATAGACTTGGATCAAGTCTGTCTCTCTAGAGTCCGAGGGATCGAGCGCGCCAAGAAGCGGCGCGCGAGGTGCAATAAAGGCGGTTTTCCACTAGGCGAAATTTTTCGACCGAATCGAAATTTTCTTTTGTCTTACAAGCACTCAGATGGAACTAATCTGAAATCTTTTGAATTTGAACAATAGAAATTTCGGTTCGATCGAAAAATTTCGCCTAGTGGAAAACCGCTTTAATTAATGCGGGAAAGTTTACCTCGCACCGGCGCCGTGCTCGATCTCGTCACTTCGCGACTCCGGACTCTAGAGAGACGGACTTTTTTATTATTATTAATTATTATTATTAAAAATCTTATTTTACAACTGTTATCCTTCAACACGCCTAGGTTATTGATTTATCCAAGGAACCATTCACACTATAGTAATCTATATTTACAAATACAAGCAATAGCTGCATGATATCATACTAAAGATATAAAACCATGCCAAACTGACTGGCCTTAGTTACATTTAATGTTTAATACGATCAAGCGCAGTCTTAAATTGCCTAATTGTGGCATCACTTGTTTTTACACATCTCGGTAAATTTAATATTCCATGTTTTAGCGCCATTAGGCCTAAAAAATAATTTGTTTTAGGCTTTTTGTAGCATACTCATTTCCGTTGCTACGTAAATTATCAGTTAGTGTTATTTTTAATTTCAAACAAGTTCATCAAATTCTCTGGTAATTCATTTCTCTTCCCTTTGTACATAAATACTAAACTGTTTTTAAGGCCCGTTTCATACGCCGTACTTCACATGTGGCGAATACATTAAAGACAATAGGTAATGAGCTGAAATGCCTCATTACCTATTGTTTTTAATGTATTCGGCACATGTGAAGTACGGCGTATGAAACGGGCCTAACCCAAATATCAACTAGGGGCTTCCAATCTACTCAATCTAGTTCCCTCAAAATTTCGTTTGCAGGTGCATGTCTCGTACTGATCTGCCAGTTATGACCCATGCTGCCCTGTTGCATTTTCTGCAAATTACTGATCAGCTGATCACTATACAGTTGCTCCATACAAGGCTGCAATAGTCAAAGTATGGCAGTACTAACGCATTGTACACCTTAATCAAAGTTGTTTTGGGGACACAGCTCTTTAGTCGTCGTAGCATACCTACATAGATATAGGAGACCTAGATTGCTGACTCTAATGTTTTTGGTACTTTGCCTGAAATAGCTTCAGTAGTTCAGTTTGGTTTTTCCATAGAAATTAATAACTAAGCCCAATGATTTTGCATGCTTAACCCGCTTAATTTTTGTATCCCCAAATTCTAAGATTGGGTCAGTTTCAATAACCGATAATCTCTGGTGTGAACCAATTAGCATATATTCTGTTTTCAGCATGAGCTCCACCTTTGAATTTACTATATGAGTAAATTCTTAAACACGTCCGAATTTATCATTAGAGAGGTACGTTTAGCAAAGATGACGCGACGTCAAAGACGACGTGAAAATGGCGTAAAAATGGCGTGGGCGGTGGGCACATCCATAGATGGGCATATCACGCCATTTTTACGCCATTTTCACGTCGTCTTTGTCGTCGCGTCGTCTTTGCTAAACCTCTCTAATATGATAAATTCGCGGCAAGTTTTGAATTTATTATTTAACACTAACCCTAACCCCAACCCTAACCACTAACCCCTAACCGCTAACCACTAACCCCTAACCCTAACTTTTTTAACTTAAAAATCTAACTTTTTAAACTTTTCTTGCTTTTCGAAACTCTTTTAAAACTTTTTAAAACTTTTTTAAAAACTATTTTTTAAAAAAACTCTTAGCAACCGCAGTACAAACACTACAATGGACCTCCAATTACACTGTGATCATGTTGTGTTTATTTTATGATCATGTTGCTCACCTCATCAGTCCATTCCAACACGGCTTTCTCAGAAATAGATCCTGCGTCACCCAACTCCTGTCTGTCCTCCAGGTCATCGGACAAGATCTAGACAGAAACATTCAGACTGATGTATTGTACCTCGACTTTGCCAAGGCATTCGACTCTGTAGATCACACGATCCTTCTAGCTAAGCTTCGTTGTTATGGTGTGACTGGCTCGCTCAGCTCTTGATTGGTTTGCTAACTACCTTAATGGTAGGAAACAAAGAGTCGTTGTGGATGGTGCGACTTCGAAATGGGCTTCCGTCACTTCCGGTGTGCTTCAGGGAAGCATTCTAGGACCCCTGTTGTTTGAAGTATTCATCAACGATCTACCCGACATCGTAGAAGCCCGAACCGGTAAAGCTCTGTATACAGATGATACCAAACAGGCAAACTACACAAAACCATTACCTGTAATCGTGATTGTGCGTCTTTACAACACTCCCTATCCAATCTTAATCTCTGGACTATGGAAAACAACCTCCGCTTCAACAAGGGCCGTCCCCAAGAAATTTTTCAAAGGGGGTGTAAGGTCATTTTAACCGACTGACGAAGGAGCTTGTACCGACCACCTGCTAGCCATGGAAGCTTGTGGAATTTCCGATGGAGGTCAACTACGGAGCCATTTTTAGATTAAGGGGGCTATAGCGAACGTCGAAGGAGTGAGTTTTTCAGGGAAATTTTGAAATCTGATACCTCCCAGAGCCACGGAAATGCAATCAAATTTACTAGTTGCTGTTAAAAAGTTTCTTAATAGACGACTTCTACAATCTTCGAAAAAATATGTGTAGACTTTTCGAAATATACTCCCAAATTTGAAAACATATGATGAAAATGGGAGCATTTTTCAATTAAAGCAACTATTTATCTTAAATCCCCCCCCCCCTCCCCCCACAAACAATGTTGGTTCAGGTAAAGTGGATTTGCAACACGTGTTACCTAAATACCAACATTGTATAAGGGGGGAGGGGGACAAATTTGAAAATTTAAGAAGTCTACTAATTTTTTTCCAGGATTGTCTCTAAATTAAGGCAAACCCTTACAGGAAGGATATTTAAACTTTTTGAACATATAAAATTTTCTATTCTACTATGTTGTTACCAAACTCGAGTGACACATATGTTAGTGGTAACAAACCCCCAAAAAAAATTCCGGGGGGGGGGACTTGCGATGGTAGGATTTCAGAAAATAAGTGTATATTATTGCCCATAGCTCGGGTTATCTTGCAGTTTCGTTGCATTTGGACACGATTCTAGATTTTTCTGTGTTGGTGTAATGTACTCAGGTGAATATGATGCTTGTGATGTTACTCTAAGTGTATATGCACACCGGGGAAGCTTGAAAAATATGCCGGGCAACGGTCGGAATCGAACCTACGACCTTTGGAATGCTAGCCCAATGCTCTTCCAACTGAGCTACGCGGTCATGTCGGTTTGAGTATGTGATATTTCATGATTACTAAATTACATTGATATCGAAGGAACTAGATTCTGTTCCGAAATATCACACACTCGAAGCGACCAGACCGCGTAGCTCAGTTGGAAGGGCATTGGGCTAGTATTCCAAATGTCATAGGTTCAATTCCCACCGTGGCCAGGCTTATTTTTCAAACTTACCCGGTGTGGATATACACTCAGAGTAACATCACAAGCATGACGATTCTATAAGGTTTTATACTTTGGAATGTATAGCAAATTTAAAATTAGCTTCAACTTAGAGTCCTGTAGGTTTAACACCCTTTTCAAAATGTTTTACTTAGTGTTTGCTCGCGGAAAATAAGCGAACTTAATTTCATAAAATACACATATCTGCTTGATTTCTTGAGTTCGTTTGGAATAAATAAACTAAGAGACATTTCTGTTCGTTTATTGTGTGGTTGTGTCTTAAGTTATGTTAGGATTAATTTATTTTTAAGGTTTTTAGTTCTCTATGCACATTTTCAACTATTATAGATTAGAACAAATCTCAATCTCTACATGTTACATCATGTTACATTATGTTACACTACATGTTACACTAAAATTACTATACTTTACTATAGTTCTTGACATGTTACTACATGTTACACCTATATTTTTAAAAGGAACTATAGATTTTTTTAAAGGTAGGTGTAACATGTTGTAACATGTGAGGATGTATAATAAAATATAGAACTATTAGTGTATCATGTACTGTAACATGTGGTGTAACATGGTGTAACATGTAGACATTTTACTCAGACTGTACATTTATTAAATAATAAAAAGATCTTCGTTAAGACAAGCACCAATTCTGAGGCAATCACAGGTACATGCGCTATAAAAGCATATTGAAACCATATTAAGACATACTTTATAGGTACAATTCTGCACTATAAAATTCTAATGATTGACAAATATGTGAAAAAATGTGACGGACATGAAACATTGTACAATGTAATAATCTATATATACCATATCTGTCCCTCCGATAGTTGTTTGTTATTTAACTGCCATAATTTTTTGTCAATGCAGCCTTACTGGATAAATTAACCACAATTTTCCTTAAAGCAGGGCACCTACATAAGCCCCCTCCCCCCGTCTACCGACACCCTGGCCTCCAAAAAGTTTAATCAAACCCTGAATTATGTTCCTAATATAGAGTCCATTCTAATTTGAAAATTATGTTTCGAAAACGACGGTACAATTAACTTGGTAAAATGATTATCCATTGTATTTTTTCAGACAATCCTGGAAAAAATATGTGTAGACTTTTCGAAATATACACCCAAATTTGAAAACATCAAAATGTGAGCATTTTTCAAATAAAGTAACTATTTACCTTAAATCCCCCCCCCCTGTCCCCCCACAAACAATGTTGGTTCAGGTAAAGTGGATTTGCAACACATGTCACCTAAATACCAACATTGTATAAGGGGGGAGGGGGACAAAGTTTGAAAATTTAATAAGTCTACTAATCTTTTTCCAGGATTGTCTCTAAATTAAGGCAAACACTTAAAGGACGGATATTAAATTTTTTTAACATATAACATTTTCTATTCTATTATGTTGTTATCAAAGTCAAGTGGCACATATGTTAGTGGTAACAAATCCAAAAAAAAAATTACCGGGGGGGGGGACTTGCGATGGTAGGATTTCAGAAAATAGGTGTTTATTACTGCCCATAGCTCGGGTTATCTTGCACAGTTTCGTTGAATTTGGACACGATTCTAGATTTTTTCTGTGTTGGTGTAATGTACTCAGGTGAATATGATGCTTGTGATGTTACTTTGAGTGTATATGCACACCGGGTAAGCTTGACAAATATGCCGGGCAACGGTGGGAATCGAACCTACGACCTTTGGAATACTAGCCCAATGTTCTTCCAACTGAGCTACGCGGTCACGTCGGTTCGAGTATGTGATATTTCATGATTACTAAATTACATTGATATCGAAGGAACTAGATTCTGTTCCGAAATATCACACACTCGAACTGGCCAGACCGTGTAGCTCAGTTGGAAGGGCATTGGACTAGTATTCCAAAGGTCATAGGTTCGATTCCCACCGTGGCCAGGCGTATTTTTCTAACTTACCCGGTGTGGATATACACTCAGAGTAACATCACAAGCATAACGATTCTAGATGTTTTTATAGTTTGGAATGTATAGTAAATTTAAAATTAGCTTCAACTTAGAGTCCTGTAGGTTTAACACCCTTTTCAAAATGTTTTACTTAGTGTTTGCTCCCGGAAAATAAGCGAACTTAATTTCATAAAATACACATATCTGCTTGATTTCTTGAGTTCGTTTGGAATAAATAAACTAAGAGACATTTCTGCTCGTTTATCGTATGGTTGTGTCTTAAATTATGTTAGGATTAATTTATTTTTAAGGTTTTCAGTTCTCTATGCACCTTTTCAACGATTATAGATTAGAACAAATCTCAATCTTCACATGTTACATCATGTTACATCATGTTACACTACATGTTACACTAAAATTACTATACTTTACTATAGTTCTTGACATGTTACTACATGTTACACCTGTATTTTTAAAAGGAACTATAGATATTTTTAAAGGTAGGTGTAACATGTTGTAACATGTGAGGATATATAATAAAATATAGAACTTTTAGTGTAACATGTACTGTAACATGTGGTGTAACATGGTGTAACATGTAGTGATTTTACTCAGACTGTACATTCATTAAATAATAAAAAGATCCTCGTTTAGACAAGCACCAATTTGTGAGGCAATCACGGGTACATGCGCTATAAAAGCATATTG